AGTGCAAAACAAATCAGGTCAAATACACATGCACTATTACGTTTATGGTAAATATTTCTAAAAGCTCTTTATTGTTCTATAAAGCAACATTTGGTTTTTTAAAACTGGTTGACTAAACAACGTCAATTGTTTTGCCAAATTTCTAAATTGTAACCTCTGAAGTCGCCATGATTAATATGATTTTACAAATCGGTTTATCCTGGTGAATCTACTGAATTTTTCCCCTAGTTTTGTGAACATCGTATAATGTAAAGTGTGTTATGTTTATAAATTGATTCGTAATAAGTATAGGATGCATGTACACCAGCTTAACTTTAACTTTGGTTAACAAGTTTGAAAACTGAGGCACTACGAATAGTTAGTTCCAACAAGTCACAGTAAAATTTAAGTGAAGACCCCATAAAACTCCCGCCTTCAAAAAGCGCGCCGGTGTCAATCATTCTATATCTTAAAATCGATATATGTCGAAACAACGCAACAAACCATTTTCTAGTATATCGATATATCGTAATATAAGAAAAATATAGTGGCAATCCCTAGAAATATTGAGATACATATAATTGATAAATTGGTTGTCATTTTTAAACGATATAATTAAATTCAATTATAATTTGTATCGACATCTACTTCCAGTCAATATTTTTTATATGGCATTGTTTTGATATAACACAATATTTCGCAATATTTTTCATAATTTATTGCGGTATCGCCACACAAGTCGACATAAAATATATCGACAAGTATCATATAACGCAACAAGCCAATAGCAACAACAACAAAAAAAGATACTTATACGCTTCCGTACGTTATTCATCAGTAAAACGTGTGAAACTGTGAATTTTTTTTTTCAAATACCATCTTAATTGGTAAAAATAAATGAAATGCCAAATTGAAACATTTTTACAGAAATTCTATCAAATAAAGTGGGAATCCTCTACCTTCGTGTAGTTTGACAAAATAATACTATTGATCGCACAGAGAAGTTTCATAAGTACATAATGTGTATTTACTGTATTCATCTCTTAGAAATGCAGACAATAAAAAAAATCCCCCTTGCGTTTTCTCAATTATTTTTTAACAGTGTAGTGTATAACTTTTATGACAAATTATAATAAAACTATGGAAAACTTCATCAGTTATAAATTACAATATGGATAATTTTATGTTAAGGGAGTCAACTAATTCAATTTGACCTTTTTCAACTAGACCTATTCACTACTTTTCCTTGAAATTCATGATTTTACAGTGTAACTTCATCCCCTACATATTAAACATTAAGAAATTGGAATGTGTATAAAATATAAAACAATGGCAAGTAATATACTATCTACACTAGGAATTATATTCAGCCAAAGTTTTCAATCAACATTAACCGACTGAAATATTTGTCGATTAAACGTTATTGATTTGTAATTAATGTTAAAAGAAAGTGCACAGAGGACTTAGTTTATTGGTATACATGCATGCATTAGTTCAATATTTTCCATATCATTATAATCATCCATCAGAAACGCGTTTCATATGACTTCAAGCAGCATTACTCATATAATTTTATTGGTAATTTTTAAGAGCAAAACCACAGCACCTAGTGGAAACACAACATTAGGAAACAATTTATCCTCTAAATTTCCGGTGTTGTACTTGATGGATAGGGTACATGGAAATGAAACACAACAGTATAGTTTTGAAAAAAAAACGTAGAGTGCATAACTATTGCATTTTAGTTTTTACGATTCATTTTCTGTTTTGATTAAAAAATTTGAAAAGATGTTATTGCTTTTACATCCTTAACCTAAAAGTTACAGGTTTACTAAAACATAGAGCAAAGGTCATTGCCCTCCTTAACTTAAATTTTGACTTTTTTTGTACCCCGGTTTATCGGCCGTGAATATATTAAGGAAAAAGAATTAAGAATTTTAACAATTATAGTTGGATATGTCATTTCAAACAAAAATCAAATGAAAATTTATTTTGTAACGAGGACTGAGATATATATTATTCTCAAGTCATGTAAATTTTTAAATTATTGTTTGAAATTTTTGCTCTTCTCTACTGGCCACAGACCACAATTAAATTCCCCTATTAGTTCTTTATAACGTTTTGTTTCATTAAAAAAATTGCACCTTGCATTTTTGTCAAATCTTTTGTGTGTGTAATGTATAGTACTAGTCCAAAAATATATCCAAAATTCAGAAAGATTGAACCAATGACTCTTACAAATTTAGCCAATACACATCCATACCCCTATGGACAAGTCAAGAGATGTTCCGAAAACTGTAAATATCACCTTTTTGCACCTGGCCTAATCACTCTTTCCATATCAAAATCAGTTAAAATACAACATCCAAAAGTTTATTTCACCTCTCTTCTTTTATTTCCACCCACAAAAAACTAAGAAATGAGTGAGGAAGGGAAAGAAAAAAAATTAAGAAAAAATACACTCTAATTAAAAGGAACTATATTCGTGGACAACGAAAAGCGGGATCATTAATTGTGGTCTTGGGCCTACTGACGTGAACAATCATTGATACGATAATTTCTTAAAAATTTACAGTAAAAAAACACTAGGTTTATTCTACCCAAAGGCCTCAGTCAGATTTCGCAGAATTTTTCGTTTTGACAGTACTTCAGCTTCTTTATAAGATTGGCCTACCTAAATGAAATTAACACTCTATATCTGTTTAGTCCTCAACCTACATTTTCTTCTTTTTTTGTACCTTAGCATATTATACTTTTCCATGGGAACAGATGAAAAACAAACTATTTCTGTCAGTTTACTTACTATAAAAGAAAGATTCCGTTCACTTAGATATCATATTTAGAAGAAACTCCTGCATATGCTTAAGGCATTGTAACCTTTTTTCGTTGATGATAATAATTTCTTCTTTGAAGAGAGACTACAAAATGTAGGTAAGTGCAAATTAAATCTTATTTTTTGCTGTCCCTTAACACTCAGTCGTATCTTACATTGTAACACATATCAGGTGGCAACAAACATTAAATAGAGCGTTTAAACAAATTTAAATGATTTAACAGATTTATTTATCATCAATTCAATCACCAGAAATGTCTTTCCAAGATTAATCTTGTGAATTCGTTGAAACAACTAAATAATTGGTTGTTTGTGCTTGCTATAGTGGTGTTTTATTAGTTTTCCGTTATACTGATAAGATTAAATTGTTTATTATCTTAATTACGTATTATGGTGGTCTTTTTATTTGTTCTTGTACAATTTTAACCTTTACTGTTTAGTCCATTTTTGGTAATATACTTTTGGTGTGGCTCGGTACTTATACATCCCGCCAGTGTGTTATTGTGCTATGGTCAGAATTGTATTCTTGTCTTTAATTTTTGCTAATGTACTTTGTCTATAGAGTGTCTATATGCTATTTTATTGTTTTTCTTTGTTGAAATAGTTATTTGCTTTTATAGTGATTAAGATTATATTACAATGTTGACTGCTGTACCCCAATATTTGACATTTTGACCTATTATGTCTGTTTGGTTTGCTCAGACATTGTTGTCAATATAATCGAATCATATGCGACTGTCATACAGGTGAAAGGAGTAAGCTATAAATCCAGGTTAAATCCACCACTTTCTACATAAGGAACTGCCTGTACCAAGTCAGGAATATGACAGTTGTTATCCATTCATTTGATGTTATTTTATTTTTGATAGCTTTTCGTGTGTAGATTTTCAATTTTTCCTCCATGACAGTTACCATAAATATCTAGCATATCCATTTATTCGCACATGCACAGCTGGTCTCTTCTTCTTACAATTAAAAAAAAGAAAGTGGTATGATTGCCAATGGGACAACTATCCACCCGAGTTCAAATGAGGTAGATGTAAGCAATTAGAAGCAACCTAATGGCTTTCAACAATGAAAAAAAACCCATAGCGTATAGGCGGCTATAAAAGGTCCCAACATTAAAGATGTGAAAAATTCAAACGAGAAAACTAACGGCTTAATTTATAACATAACTATTTACGAAAAACAAATATGACAGACGTAAACCGACGATAACTACTGAACTACATGTTTCTGACTTTGGACAGGCACATAAAAAAATGTGGCGGATTTAAAAAAAAGTGTGTGAGCGCTCAACGTGGGACAGAAGTGTAACAACACAACATAAGAACAAACTGTAAAAATAAGTTACAATGTCAATTTATCTGAGAGGCTACTAATAGTACGTTTGTGTACTGCATGTGCTCGCAAAATCGCCATGTGAACAATTAAGAAGTTTACGGTTGGCTTACTTTGAAAATAGGAGATTGGGATTAACTTATATGTTTTATTTTTCTCATCGCTCACATCGCAAACACATAAAACAGCCTCAGGTTAATTCCCGCACCATATAAATTCAAGATATAGGTATTATCAAAATAGCTGTCATAAATATCTTCAGCGTCAAAATGTTTATGAAAGTAAAATTCAACTATATCAATATATAATTTAACCGTTTATGACGGAAAACCACTTTCATGTCGATAATATTTGTACTTACGCTCAACCTTTTCCTTGTTATTGTTGATTATTTTTGCTGAAGATAATCATTTTGTCAATGCAGAAACATCGAAAGTGCAAACATGGTAAAAATAAGTGTAGTCTAATTATGTCAATAGTTTTCAATAAGCTACTTATATTTTCTCAAATGGAAAATATAGGGTAGGAATGCAACCTCAAATATTTATCAAGTTAATGTTTATTTATTGTTGTCATAAAAACATATTAGGTTGTAACATACATTTAACTTCACATTAAAACAAATTCAAATAATTTCTAAGAACTGATTATCTGTTTATCTAGATTTGTTTCTTTGTCAGAATCTCGTCATGTCTAAAGGACATCCATATTTATACCAGTATTGAATACACCCTATTAAGATGTAACCATGCATAAAGTTTATGTTAGTTGCAAGATAAAATAAATCATTTAAATACAATACAAATATCCACTCCTGATCATGTGATCATTGTGAGTCCCATACAAAAGAAGCAAGGTCAGTCACAAAAATCGACTAGAATTCGATGCATGTACTTCCACTATAGTTCATCTAAGGTAAGCACATCGTATATCTTTTGTCATTAAATGCAAGCAAATATCTTGGGAAAATTAATCTTTGGCATTCGATGAACGACAAAAATGTATTGGTTAGTTTTGCATTTTGCAGTGGTGTTTTAGTCTTCTGTTGTACCAATCAGATGGAAATATTAGTTTTTCGGTGGTACTTTCCTTTTTTTCCTTTTCCTCCATTGACGGTCACAATACTATTTACAATATCCATATATTCACTCAAAACCGTGGTCTTCTTTTAATACCAATTTAGCTGAAAGTCTACAGTCAATTGTCTTTTTTTTTTCTTTTTTTGTCATATTCATCATGTTCACAATGGTCCTGTTTGCAGTCGCTTACCTTTCTCAGGAATAAAGACGTTACGTTACAAACTTCTACGTTGAGTGTCAAGCCAAGTAAAACAAAATGACATTGTGTCATGTTTCTAAAATTGTTTTTATAATGTTCTACTGCTTTTGAGTTTCTTGATCAAATTTGCAGTTATATAATAAGGTTACAACTCCTTCAGTCAACGGTGAGATTTGATGAATTTTGCTTTTCTTTTATGTCTATTTTGGTGATAAAGTTCATATATTTATTAAAATATGTTCAATTTGTTTAACTATTTCGGCAAATATCAAATTTGAAGATATAGTCATTGCTCTCCTTCAAACTTGTTATCAGATTAACTTCCTTTTTATCTCTCGTTAGTATTAAATAAAAAAAATTGCTGGTTATAATTTTGTACGTTAATCCATGAATCTGAAGCTGAGACAATTTGACAAAAATGAAGGGTTGAGCGTTTGCAACCATGTTTTACATGTTTTACTCCGCCACATTTTTTTTTTTGCATCTCCCAAGTCTGGTGCCTTTAATTAAGAGGGTTGTCGTTGATTACCCTATGTCGTAATTGTTTTTCTTTTTTACTTATACCAAGCCGTTGGTTTTGTTATTTGAATTGTTTTGTAGATTGCCATGTTGGGCTTTATATAGCTTAGTGCATTTAAAAAGTAGTGCCTGCGGATTTTACTTTCATCAGGAAAACATTTGAAAGTCGAGAATGTATGAATATGTAGAATCTTTAGGAGCTAAATCGTCAAGACATAAAAAATAGCACTTTCATCAAAGGTCAACCTTGGTTTGTAATTAATTTCTTAATTCATTAACGGGAATTATTAGACAAAACTTTATATTCAAGCTTTAATCCGATGATTATATTCTGATAGATGGCTTTGAGTCCCTTAATAAGTGCCTAAACGATTCTATCAAATATTTATTTATTTATTTAGAACCTTTATGATTCTTTTTCTTCTACTATTTATTAAATATCAACATAGAAATAAGGAGATTAGACAACTATCCACTAGATATTATATGACGTGGATTTCGCGATTATAGGTCACCGTAAGGCCTTCTACAATGAGCAAAATCCATACCGTTTAGAAGGCTGTAAAAGGCTCCTGCATGACAAAATATAAAAAAACCGACATGAAAAACCAGCGACCTGATTTCTATCAAAATAATAAACAATAAACAAAAAACAATAAGTTAAATTTAAATTTACAATATTTACGTATTATGATATGTCATTTTTTTTTATGTAAATCAAGTAATAAAATTGAGAATGGAAATGGGGAATGTGTCAAAGAGACAACAACCCGACCAAAAAGCAGAAAACAGCCGAAGGCTACCAATAGATCTTCAACACAGCGAGAAAATACCGCACCCGGAGGCGGGCTTCAGCTGGCCCCTAAAATACCTTTAATTTTAGAGTTGAAGGCCATACAATATTTGATGATCGTGGAAACAAATCTGATAAATCCAAATATGACATGTTCCCTTTCATTCAAAATTTTTTGGCTTATTAAATTCCCTAGTATTGTTCATTATTTTGGCGTACAATAATCATTTTCTTAATACCGAAAGATTTCAAGTTCAAACATGGTAACGCTAATTCCAGATTTATGATGTCGTTCGTTTACAATTGACTATTTATAGTCTCTTGAGTGCAAAAATATGGGGTTGAATGCACATACATTTAAACTTTAAAATGAATTAATAATATTCCAAGAATTGTTTTTTCGTCGAGTCAATTTGTGTTTTCTAAGTAATAGTTTTGACATAAATCATCGTTGGTGTTGTCATATTTATAAATTAACTGTTTACAAAACCTTGAATTGTTCAAAGTACTGACTATTTTGTACCCCAGGAATAGATTACCTTAGACATATTTGGTAAAAACCTTTCGGAATCTTGGGTCCTCAATGCTCATTATTTTCGTTTCTTATTTGGCCTTTTAACATTTTTATACGTTTGTTATTATGAACCTCCCGTCTGGAGTACAACATAATAAGCCAGTTATCTTTAATGAGGTTTTTTTCACATCTTAACAACGCCTATTTGCTAAGAATTCAATACTGTTACCTTGCCTGGCATATGTTTATAAGGTTTAACAAATCAAATCCACTCATTTTGGGATGAGTAGATGTAAGCATTGGAAGGGATGACACGTTGTCATGATAGAAACTATATTAAAAGTAAAATAACTAAAATTCTGAACGCAAAGGAAAATTCAAAACGGAAAGTCCCTTATCAAATGGCAAAATCAAAAGCTCAAACACATTAAACGAATGGAAAACAACTGTCATATTCTTGACTTGGTACAGACATTTCCTTATTTATAAAATGGTGGATTAAACCTTGTTTATAGCTAGCTAAACCTCTGACTTGTATTACAGTTGCATAGAATTTAATTATATTAACTACAAAGTGTGAGCAAAAATTAGGGTACAGCAGTGATCATTGTGTTATAATCTTTAGGTGTAATACACCAAATCATAGTACGTCACATCCGGTTGCAAACGAAAAAGGGTCGATAAAAAAATGAATTTGACAGTTGTAGGAAATTAATCCTACATTGCATTGCAGTAAAAAAATTCTGGGTCATAAACATATATCTTGGGTGTTTCAAAGCACCAGTATTTCTTTATTTGGTGTTTCTATAGAATATTTTGGAAACTTGAGGTTACATGGTTACTAAAGGTTGTACACAGGTAAAAAAGAGGTGAAAATTTGATTGGTTAACTTCCAGTGATTGTTAATTTCTTATATGCAATGAAATGTTATGTGAAATTTTGTCTATGGTACTGGACAGGATAAAACTTTACTCATGCCAAGTATTTCTTTATTTGAAACAAAGATCAATTCTGCACAATTTTTTGAAAAGTGCAAATTAAACAAAGACAAATAGGGGAAAATCAATGGTGGAATTACACCTTAATCACTATAAAAGATATTTTTATTAACGCTATGATTTTGGCCCCGCATCCGAGAAGAAGTTGAAACATTTTTTCCTGTCATTCTATTTTTTCCATTGATGATAATCAATTTGTTTATCAAAAAGACTTTAAAATGCCATAATGTACACATTGATACTTTTTTGTTTTTGATCTTTATATTTGAATTAACTTGTTAAAGTTTAAAACGTATCAATTTGTAACATACATTTATTATCACGTTTTGACAAGTTTAAATCATTTCCAATTGCACTTAGGCCAGATATTGTTTTTAAAGGAGTTTTGTGTCTAAATTACATAAAGATTTAAACCAGTTTTGAATACACTTTGTTATAAGCTAACCATGCGGTAAGAATACGTATTTATGTTTTGAAATAAATCGTTGTAAAATATACAATACAGAACTTCCTTCCTACGTTACGTCATGTGATCATCGTTAATTCCAATAATAGAGAAATGATTTTCTAATAAATCTACTTGTACTGGAATTCAGTACATGAACTTCAAATGCAGTTCATCTTAAGTAAGCACATGTCATGTATGTCATGATTTAATGCCAACTAATATCCTGCAAAAGTTAATCTATAGTATTGGTCAAAAAATCGTATTTGTTATTTGTGTTTTCGGTAGTGGTGTGTTGTCTTCCGTTATATCATAAAGATTGATTGAGGAGCTTTTCGTGAGTAGATTTCAAGATTTTAAACATACGCTTTCTTGTCATTGGTGATAATCATATATTTTCAAGCATATCTACTGTAAATTCAGAAATTATTGCGTGCATTTTATTTTATTATTGCGATTTTGTCATTTTAGACTAAAATGCGATTTGTATCTTTGCGATATTGAGAACAATCCTGTTTAGTTCATATAAAAAATTTCAAAATGCGAGTTTAAATTATTGCGATTATAACCCTGTCGCATTTTTCGTAATAATAAAAACATTGCCAATAATTTCTGAATTTACAGTATTTATTCATACACATGCTTCCTCTTCTTAAAATACCAATTTAACTTATGGTACTTATGTTCAATCCATCTCTTTGTTCGCATATTCAGCATGTTTTCAATAGAATAGGTTGCTGTTGGCTCGCTTTGTCAAGTAAACATTAGACGACAGGACCCTTCTTGCATTTTTTGTCAAATCAAACTCCCGATGAAACACAACCTCAGGTTTATTGCCGCACAAGGTAAATGCAAGTGTTGGAAAATTACTGTCTAAACATTGTTACTAATCCAAATAGCTTTTATGAGCACAGGACTCTTACTTTCAAACATATGGGAAAGAAATTAGGTAAAAAAGGATATCAGACACTAAAGTGCTGAATGTTAAACCACTATTCCATGTTAGGCGGTGCTCGTCACAATTTTTGTGTACTTTTCAAAGTCAGGATCCTGTAAATTTGCGGTTGCCGATTGTTGCTGTATATTTTATTTGTTTTTCGTTCGTTAATTGTTTTGACATAAATCAGGTCGTTGGTTTTCTTTTTTTAAATGTTTTCAATTATCATATCGGGGCTTTTTATAACTTGCTAAGTGGTATGGGTTTTGCGCATTGGTGTAGGCCATACGGTAACAACTAGTTACAAACAACTACGTCATTTGGTCTCTGATGGATAGTTGTCTCGTTGGCAATCATACCACATCTCTTTATTTTATACTAGAGGTGGATTGGTCCGGAGAGAGACCTCGTATTTGTATGAACAATTCAAT